TGGTGTATTCGAAATGTTAGGAAGAGCATGCCGACCATCTTCGTATTGTTCTGGGTGTTCTTGGGAAACAAAAGTTGTCTACGAAATTTTCTAAGTGCAAATTTTGGTTGACGTCGGTTGCCTTTTTGGGGAATATGGTTTCGAAAGAAGGGGTAATGGTAGATCCCCAAAAGATTGAAGTGGTTAAGAATTAGGTTCGGCCTAGCTCAGTGACTGAAGTTAGGAGTTTTGTGGGGCTCGCTAGCTACTATTATCGGTTTGTGAAGAACTTTGCGTCTATTGCCACACACTTGACAAATTTGACCAAAAAGGAGATACCATTTGAATCGACTGAAAAATGCGAGGAGAGCTTTCAAAAGCTCAAGACCCTTTTGACCACTGCACCTATTCTAGCACTACCCGTTGAAGGTAAAGATTTATTGTTTATTGTGATGCTTCACATTCTGGTTTGGGTGTGGTGTTGATGCAAGATAAGAATGTTATAGCTTATGCATCGCAACAGTTAAAGGTGCGTGAGTGGAATTATCCAACGAATGATTTAGAGTTGGCAGCGGTAGTATTTGCTCTTAAGATCTGGCGACATTATCTTTATGGTGTCAAGTGTGAAGTGTTTACCGATCATCGCAGCCTACAACATGTATTCGCTCAAAAGGATTTGAATTTGAGACAAAGAAGGTGGATGGAGTTACTTAAGGATTATGATGTCACCATTCAATACCATCCGGGCAAGGCTAATGTAGTGGCAGACGCTTTGAGTCGAAAAGTGGTGAGTATGGGTAGTTTAGCTTGCTTGAGTGTAACTAAGCGACCTTTGGCTAAAGAAATCCAGGCCTTAGAATCTAAATTCATGTAGTTGGGAATCTCATAAAGAAATGGGGTGTTAGCTAGCATTGAGGTTAGGGCCACGTTCATTGAGGAGATCAAGGCCAAACAGTTTGAGGATGAAAATTTGAATGAGCTTAGAAAGAAGACTGTGATTGGTAAGGCACAAGAGACCACTCTTGATGCGGAAGGTGTGCTCAGTTTTATAGGAAGGATTTGTGTTTCGTGAGTCGATGACTTGATTCAAAAATTGTTCAAAAAATCCCATGGTTCGCGATATTCCATTCATCCGGGTGTGACTAAGATGTACCGAGATTTGAAGCGAATTTATTGGTGGCCTGGCATGAAGAAAGACATAGCGAGGTTTGTGGCTAAGTGTCAAAATTGCCAACAAGTAAAGTATGAACATCAAAGGCCTATAAATTTGCTTCAGAGAATGCTAATTCCATAATGGAAATGGAAAGGATAGCTATGGATTTTGTGGTTGGTCTCCCCAAGACTTTGGGAAGTTTGATTCTATTTGAGTAGTGGTTGATAGATTGACTAAGTCAGCCCATTTTATTCCGTTCAAAATAGATTATAATATTGAACAATTGGTTAAGGTTTATGTGAAAGACATAGTGAGGTTTCATGGGGTGCCCCTTTCTATCATCTCAGACCGTGGTACGCAATTCACATCCAAGTTTTGGAGGAAGTTACATGATGAATTGGGCTCACAACTCACTTTTAGTTCAACTTTCAATCCACAGATGGACGAGTAGTCAGAGAGGACTATTCAAGTGTTAGAAGACATGTTGAGGGTATGTGTGATTTATTTTGGAGGACATTGGGATAAGTTCCTACCATTGTGTGAGTTCTCCTATAATAATAGTTATCACTTCAGCATAGATATGGCACCATTTGAGGCACTTTATGGGAGGGGATGTAGATCACACATAGGATGGTTCGAGGCTGGAGATGTGAAACCTTTGGGGTTGATTTAGTGAAGGATGCTCAAAACAAAGTGAGGAGTATCCAAGATAAGCTTTTAGCGGCCCAGAGTAGACATAAAAAGTATGCAGGCCATAAGGTAAGAGATATGACATTTCAGACTGGTGAGAAAGTTCTTCTTAAAGTATCACCCATGAAAGGGGTGATGAGATTTGGCAAGAAGGGCAAGCTTAGTCCTCGTTACATTGGTCCCTTTGAAGTTCTTTATTGTGTAGGGCCAGTGGCTTATAGATTGGCCTTACCTCCCAACCTATCGGAGTTCATCCAATATTTCATGTGTCCATGTTGAAGAGATATCATGGTGACGGGGATTACATCATAAAATGGGACTCAGTTGTATTAGACAAAGACCTTCAATATGAGGAGGAACCGATTGCAATTCTTGATCGTGATGTCTGGAAGCTGAGGACCAAAGAGGCTAAGTCCTTGAAAGTTCAATGTAAGCATCGTCCAGTTGAGGAAGCTACTTGGGAAACCGAGAAGGACATGTGAGACAAGTATCCCTAATTTTTCGTCGATTTAAGTACTACTTTATTGTAACTTTTTCCCATCTTCTCCTAGTTTGTCACTCGGGGACGAGTGATGAGTAAATTGTTATCTATTGTAACGACCTGTTTTCGTCGTTATAGAAAATCCAACACGAAAAAATTTTGGGCCAAAAAACTTCTTCATAGTAACTTGGAATTTCCCAACCTAGTCTAGATTTGGATGAAATCAGAGATAGTAAGGTCTAGGTAAATATGGTAACAATTGGGTGATCTAATCATGGTTTTTATCACATGAGTAGATAGCTAAGATGTTAAGGAACACATAGGACTTTACGGAATTGAATTAGGGCGAGTAGAACTCCCGAAACTTATCTTAGCATGAACGGGTATGTTCTGAGAGCCATGGGATGAAGGTGTATTGTGAAATAGGGGTATGGAATTCTTACAATTGCTCACTGTTTCCGTGCAAGCCGTTGTGGTGAAATTATTCCCGCTAGGGGGAGGCCGCTGTAGCGGGGTGAGGACTGTCGTGGCAGAACAGTTGCGATTTAAGTCGGAAATAAACCCCAAAATCATTTTATTCTGCACTTTTCGACTTTCAGAGCTAGGAGATTACCACAGGCGAGTTCTTGGCCGTTTTTCACCATTCTTAAGGCTATAGGTAAGGTTTTAACTCCCCAAATCCATTCTTCGATCCGTAGAATGTAAACTTGTGGGTAATTATCGATGGGGGAGGGCTTTGATCTGGAAATTATGGTGGAAAACGCCCTAATCTGGGTATGGAGATCAAGGGTTTGATCTAGGGTTGATACTATTGATTAGAATCTGGGTAATTGGGTCTTGTTTATTGATCCTCGTATTATTATGATTGTCTATAGACCAAGAATAAGCGGAAAGAATTTGGAAAGTGAAGAATCAAGTTTCTTAGGGGATTCAAGCTTTGTTCGAGGTAGGTGATGGTTGTGATTTCATGTTGTGTGATATATGTTTGTTTTTGCTTCATTATGATGCATGTATGTATGTGAATGTTGTATTATTGATCACACAAATTGTAAATGATGATAGTTGAATGATTGAATGCCATGAATCATGACTTGATTGTATGATTATGAGAATATGTTTGTGATTGTGATAGTGATTGTGGCTTGTTGAATGGATCGGGTGTTGCGTTCTGATACACTAACTGGATCGATTGCCACGTATCGGCATAAATATTGGAACGGGTGTCACGATTCGACACACTAACTTGTAACGGGTACCAAGTACCGGTACAATAATAGTTTGGGTGTGGGTTCCATGAGAGGACCAATAACTTGACATAACTGTATATCTTGGGAATTGTGAATTGTACGTTATTCTTAAATGATATTGATATTGTATATGTTCGGTGTATGCATGTTATTATTATGTTGTAATGGCTTATGTATGTTGCACTTAGTGCGATAGCCGCATGATCCTACCAGTACACTGTGGTTGTGTACTGATAATGCACTTGCTCTTTCCTTGTTGAGTACAGGGCATCTTCCGGTGGCTATTGACTGACCTCGCTTAGAAGATCAGCGATCGTCATCGAATTCAAGAGTGAGCCAGTTCTTCTGGGTTGCCATGAGGTCCCTTCCATTTATGTCCTCATTTCGGAGTTAGACTAGTGCATTAGGATTTCTTATGTTTAATTGGGTTGTACCCATATTCTTAGACTTGTTGAACTTTAGATGTTTTGGTACATTGACTTTCAGGTTCTAGGAATTATTCTGCATTTGTTTTTATTAGACTTTTGTTTGGAGTTTATGGGAACTCCCTATTTCTTTTCCTTAGCATTTAAACCTTTTTCCGTAACTTTAAATGACTTAGTTTTGGTTGAGTTTGTTAGTTTGGATTGTAGTAATGGTTTTCCCACCGGAGGGTTAGTGTAAGTGTCACTCATGACGGTCTGGGTCGTGACAAATAGCTTTCACTCAAACCCTTCACATGAGTAAATGAAAAGGACTATGATAGAATTCCAAACTCAAACTCATATCTTCAAATCCTAATATCTGCCAGATGTGGATGTAGAGCATTGGTTATAAATTTATCTAAACCTATACCTAATAACTTTGGCTTCGACTTTTGTATAAAAAGCTAGCAAACTAGCCTGAACACCATGGATATAAGGAAAAAGGAGTATGCGGAGAACCTTAACTCAAACTTGTGAACGTAGAAAAATTATTTTTGAAAGATCCTTGGCTCAACAAGAAAAAAAGAAGAAGAAATGAACAATATCGACAAGAAATAATGCATGATAAATGCTTACTACAGTAAAAACACAAAGGTAACAGTAAAATGAATATGGACACCACATCTTTAATCTTACTAAATTTATTTGTTGGTAACTTATTATATCAGATAATTGTCTTAGAAACTGAACTACGAAAATCAAAAACAATATTAGAGTGCATTCTGATATTGTAGCTCGCTAAATCCCAGGTATCAGCTAGATTTTTTCCCTCAAACACAAGTTTTTGCAAATGAACATGTATGTTAAGCTTCTGTAGAAGCATGCCCTTCACATCCTTGACCAACTCATGCATGTGCACGTCTAGAGTAATATTTCCACCCCTCGTTTTGATTAGGATTTGTATTGTTCTACTCTTAACCTTTAAAACAGACTTTTCGTTGATATCACACTGATATAATATCTTCGAATCTTCCAATTTCTGTTTCTCAAGAAACAAATCCATAAAATTTATCGAGCAAGCCAACTCTGCTTTCTATAATTGTTTTAATGTCGCGAAAAGTTAAGGAAGCCATGACTTCTATTTTAACCATTTCCTCTATTGGCATTAGCACAGAAATAAGAAACGTGTCTTCCGAATTGGAAACCATATGAAGTGTTGATCCAGCATCGATTTTGTAAAAAGCTAAGGTTCTGTCATCTTCAAGAAACTTTCCATCATGAATAAGAGAAAATTTCTTTGGGTTTACTCTGTATTTGACCCCAACCCTACATTTGACATCCTGGATAGTATCGAAAGTCCTTGAATAAATCGTAATTGCAACATTAGCATAGGGTCTCTTCACCAAAAATATCTTAGGGACTGAATTGTCGATATAAGCATTAAGGGTGGAGTTTTCACTAATGCCACAATCCATTAGCTTATGTCCATCATTTGTTAGGCGAACACCTTTTGAAAATAGTTGTTGGAGACATTCTGATATGCCCTCTTTATCATGTAATAAAGATTTCACGTGTCCGATACTATCTGATTCCTTAGCTATTATAGTGACTGTTTTAGTGACCTTCACGTCTATAGGCATCTTGAAGAGGATAAACAAAACAAGAACGGTAATTAAATTGTGTTAAGTTAACAATCATAAGGATCAGCAAACAAAAACATTCTAAAGCACAGACGAAAAATGTCAGAGAATGTAAAATCTGAAGGTAAAAATCATATCGTCAACAATTCAATTTTATCTTCCCTAAGAAAGTTCAAAATGCTCTGCCACTCAGTTGTACAACGTTGTCGTGCCTAGTCCACAACTCACATTTGTAAGTCTCAAAGCCTGCCTATGTTAGTAGGGGATTCACTCCCGAAGAGAACAAAAGGCTAGATCAATCAAAAGGGATACTATGAGCCCTATACCCCATACATCTAACCAACTCGCATAATTCACCAGTTCCACCTACTAGACAAAAAAGAGTGATTTAGTCAATACATAGGCGCACTTGAAGTGGGGTGTGTGTTCATGAAATTTAGATCACAACGTTGTAGCTTTCTCTCAAACAATACATATGAGTAAATCAAATAGACTATGGTAGAATTTCAACTCGAACAATAAAAATTCTAAATCCGCTAGAGGTGGATGTAGAGCATCAGTTATCAGTTATGGTTGAATCCTAAACTCTTGGTTGTGAAAGCTAATCCCACCATTTTAGCATAAAATTTATCTCAAAATTTACTAAAACTTGTAATCAAACGTGAAATAACATTTTATCTCGAATTGTTAGAGGGAGCAAACCTCTTTTTCTTTTTCATCTTCAACAGAAGTTCTCTTGCGCTTCATGCTCGACTCCATCCTTTGTAAAGCTTGAAATCTTCTACAAAATACCACAAAGGCAATAGAGAAATTAAGAAGCAAGTATTACTTTAACTTTCTAGTGCAATGTCTTATAAATGTGAATGTACTCGGATCAAATCAACCTACTTCTATTATAGGAAAAAAAATATTAAACATCAAAGTAAAATGTGAATTAGAAGATTAAGTAATCTCATAATGTCAACAAATTCTTTTTTTCGATGATTTTGCCTAATCATGTCAGCATGTTTCAGCTTGTCTTGAGACTTCTACAATTTCAGGAAAGCTGAACAGATCATGGGATTATGGTGCAGTAAATCGGCACCAGTTTTCACTAGAAGTGGAGCCTATTTTTCTAGGCATTTTCTATTTCTTTGTTCCAGATAGTGGAGCCTATGTTTTCTGAGCATTTTCTATTTTTGTGGCAGAAAAACAAAAGAATTTAGTGGTCTTTTTTCTTTTCCTCATTTTGAGTTCTGGAGAACTTGAAATTTTACTCTACTTTCAACATAGTGAACTTGCTCATCATTACATGTGGTTTTTCCCGACTTGGGTTTTCCACATTACATTGTGTGTCATTAATTGTGTTTCCAGATTTCTTTCTCGATTATTCATATTTGTCTTATTTTTTATACATTTTATTTTCTAACAAGTGGTATCAGAGCAAGGTTCAAGCATGTCTACTGTAAACAAGTTTGATATCGAGAAAATTGATGGAAAAATTAGCTTTAGTATCTGGAAGATCCAGATGAAGGTTGTTCTCACATACAATGGTTTGAAGAAGGCTTTAGCAGGAAAGTCAAAGAGGCCTAATTCTATGAACGACGAACAATGGGAGGAGTTGGATGAAAAGGCACTTTCTTCAATTCAACTTAGTCTTTCCAAAGAGGTTCTGCGGGAGGTTATTCGTGAGACTACTGCTGCAAGTCTTTGGTTGAAACTTGAGTCTCTCTATATGACCAAAAGTCTTGCCAATAAACTCTGTCTCAAATAGCATTTATACATGCTTCGTATGTCTGAAGGTTCGTCCATTCAATCTCATCTTGATGCATACAATTCAATTATAATAGATTTGGAAAATTTAGAAGTTAAAATTGAGGATGAGGACAAGGTTGTGTTTTTAATTGTCTCTCTCCCATCTACCTATAAGCACTTCAAGGAGATTATGCTATATGGAAATAATGAAACTTTGTCCTATGAAGATGTTAAATCAAATTTGTTGTCCAAAGAAAAATTTGATCTTGACGTTCATTCTGAGGATAAAGGTGAGGGCTTGTTCGTTAGAGGTAGATCACAAGACAAAGGGAATACATCTAAAAAGATGTTCAAATCTACATCCAAAGGGCATAATTTCGGCAAGACATGTCGCTACTGCAAGAAACCAGGGCATGATATTTCTAACTGCTATAAACTAAAAAATAAAAATGAGAGGGAAGAAAATAACAAAAAGATGCAGAAAGTTGTTGAAGCCGGAGTTGTGGAAAGTGATTCTAAAGGTGATGATTTGTTGGTTGTCTCTGTTGATAAAAGAAACTCATTTGAATGGGTTTTTTATACTGGATGTACATATCATATGTGTCCTCATAAGGACTGGTTTGTAACATATGATAAAGCTGAATGTGGCGTTGTCCTAATGGGAAATGATGCCCAATGCAAAGTTGTTGGAATTAGTACTGTACAAATTAAAACTCATGATGGTGTTATCAGGACCTTGACCAACGTTCGTCATATTCCTTACCTGAAACACAACTTGATTTCTCTTGGTACTCTTGAATCTTTTGGATGTAAATATTCAGCTGAAGGTGGAGTTCTCAAGGTTTCAATAGGTTCTCTGGTCTTGATGAAAGGAATAAGACGTGAAACTCTCTATTACTTGCAGGGTTCAATTGTGACAAGGTCTGTAGCAGTTTCCACTTCATTGTCTCATGACGATCTCACTCAGTTATGGCATATGCGTTTGGGTCATATGAGTGATAAAGGTATGACTCTTCTTAGCAAAAGAGGTATTCTCGGTAATCAAGGTATAGGAAAATTGGGTTTCTGTGAACATCGCATATTAGGAAAACAAAAGAGAGTGAGTTTTTTAGCAGCTACACGTCGTACACTTGGTATTCTTTATTATATTCATTCAGATTTATGGGGGCCTTCAAAGGTTCCATCTCTTGGAGGAAAATGCTACATGAGGACCATTACTGATGATTTTTCTCGCAAAGTTTGGGTTTATATCTTGAGACATAAGAATGAAGCTTTTCTTAAGTTCAAGAACTTCAAGGCTCTTGTTGAGAACCAAACTGGAAGGAAGATAAAAAAAAACTCCTCACTGATAATGGTTTGGACTTTTGCGACTCAAATTTCAATGAGTTATGCACAAGTCATGGTATTGCTAGACACATGTCACGACCCAGACCATCGTGATTGGCACCCACACTAACCCTCCGGTGGGAGAACCACTACTACAACCCAAACCAAGCAACTCAACCAAACTACTAAAGCATTTAAGTTAAGGAAGCAAGTTAGATAGCTAAAGACTGAAGTTCCCATAAACTTCCAAAAGATCTAACAACTAAACAATGCGGAAAAACACCTAGAACCTTAAATTCAATGTACCAAATCATCTAAGGTTCAACAAGTCTAAACAAGAAGGGATACAACCTCAAACTAATGAACTAATAACTAACTAGAAAGTCTAAGTCCGAAATGTGGACATAGACAGAAAGAGAACTCATGGCAGCCCGGAAGAACTGCCTCACCATTGAATTCAAATGATCATTGATCTTCTAAACGAGGTTTGTCAATAGCCGCCTGAAGATGCCCTGTACTCAACAAAGAAAGAGTAAGTGCAGTATCAGTACACAACCACAGTGTACTGGTAGGATCACGCGGCTATCCCACTAAGTGCAACATAAGTTAATACAACAATATAATCACATGCATATATCTAACATATACAATATTATCAACATTTACGAGCAACGAACAACTTCACATTTCTCAAGATACACAAATATGACAAGTCATTGGTCCTCTCATGGAACCCAAACCCAAACAGTTAGCATACCAGAACGTGGTACCCGATCCAATGATTATGCCGGGACATGGCAATCGATCCCATAATTATGCCGGAACGTGGCAACCGATCCAAGTTAGTGTGTCGTAACGCAACACTCGATCCACTCAACAAGCCACAATCACAATCACAAAGTACATTCTCATAATCATACAATCAAATCATGATTCATGGAATTCATCATTCATATTTCCTCGTTTACAATCAATGTGGTCAATAATGCAACATTCGCATACAAACATGTATCATAATGAAGCAAGAACAAACATACATCACACAATCATTGAATCACAACCATCACCTACCTCGAAACAAGCTTGAAACCCTAAGAAACTTGATCCTTCCTTTTCCGGAATTATTTCGCTTGTTCTTGGTCTACAAAAAATAAATATAATACGGGAATAAATAAACAATCACTAATTACCCGGATTACTAACAATTCTAACAACCCTAGATCATACCCATGATCCCAAGTATCCAAATTAAGGCTTTTTCCATCACAAATTCCAGATCAAAACCTTCCCCCATTGATAATTATCCATTAGCTTACGTTCTACGGATCAAAAAATGGATTCGGGAAGTTAAAATCTTACCTTTAGCCTCAAGAATGGTGGAAAATTGTCAAGAAAAACCCTGGGTTCGTTCCTTAGCTCTCAAATTTGAAATTTGTAGAATAAAATGTTTTTGGGATTTATTTATGACTTTAAGTCGCGTCTGGCCCACCACAGCGGACCTTACGCCGCTACATCGGCCCCGCCCTAGCGACCGAAATTACCGTCAAAGCGACTTGCACGAAACATGGAGCTAATAAAAGAATTCCAAAACCCTCATTTCACAATACGCCTTCAACCAACGACACTCAGAAACTACCCGTTCACGCTAAGATCAATTTCAGAAGTTCTACTCTCCCGAATTCAATTACTGTAAAGTCGTACGAATTTATTAACTCATGTAATCAAAATCATAATTAGATCACCCAATTGTTATCAGATTTCTCTAGACTTTAATGACTTCGATTTCGTCCAAATATGGACTAGGTTGGGAAATCTTAAGATACTACAAAAAAGTTTTTCGGCCCAAATTTTTTCCCTGTTGGCTTTTCTATAACGACGGAACCCGGTCGTTACAATAGATAACAATTTACCCATTACTCGTCCCCGAGTGACAAACTAAG